GATAATGCAATCCATGAAGATGATTCAGGAGATGTTGAGTTCTACGGCCAGTTGCTCTCGGAAGGAAGCTAAGGTGAAGCAGAGGTGGTAAAGATGCCGGGGGCTACTCAGTCCTCAACACAAAATCCTCAAAGAAGTGAAGGTATGATGATGTTTCCATCCACTCCAGGGAGGGTGGACTTAAGGGGAGTCACTTGTCCCATGACTCAACCCGATCTATTTACTACTGCTCACACTACTAGTATTGGTAGCCACATACCCCAAGTTCCCACTTTTACTGCCCCTGAGATCAATACATCAGTGTTCTTCCCAACTCATACCACTCCACCTCATACTAGTTTTGGAACTCAGTACTACCATCCAAATGCTCACATGATGAATTATCACAATTCCCCATACTTTTTCCCACAGTATGCTCCTTTCCAACCACCTTGGGTCTACACACAACCAGGGCCTTACACTTAGGTAGATAATCCACCACATGGGCAACATGATAATGTGACACATGAGCAACAAAGGCACAGAGGTAGGAATCAATATGCAGAGGAGGTGAAGAAAGGACCCAAGAAGTTTAATTTTCCTGAGTTCAATGGGGAACATCCTGAAGCTTGGATTAGAAAGGCAAACAAATATTTTGCACTTACTAAGACCCCTGAAGAAGAGAAGGTGCTAGTAGCTGAGGTATACATCACTAGTAAGGCTGATCAGTGGAGTGATAGCTATGACATTCCTACTGAAACCCTATCTTGGCCAGAATTCTGCACTATAGTTTGTAAGAGGTTTGCTGCTAAGTCTAAGGTGGAGATAATTGACATCTTCAGAAACCTAAAGCAATATGGATCTGTGGAGTCCTATATTGACAAGTTTGAAGAGATTGTGCCATTGGTCAAGAGAAATAATTCCAGCTTGAATGAGGAGTATTTCCTGGATTATTTCATCTCTGGGTTAAAAGATCATATTAAGAGGCCACTCAAATCCATGGGAATTCATTTGTTAGTGCAAGCTTATGAGCATGCTAGGAATTATGACAGTGGACCTTAGTTCAGTAAAGGCAGCAGTGGACTGCAAAAACCTGAGAAGAAGGGTGAATGGGTTGGAAATAAAAAGGGAAAGGATGATAAAAATGAGACTGGTGGAAAAATTAAGTGGAATGGCAAATGCTTTAGATGCCAAGAACCTTGGGTTCCTGGGCATGGGAAAGTGTGTAAGGCCAACAAGCAGGTGTATCTGGTGACTATGGAGGAGGAAGAAACTGAAAATGAAGGAGGATATGGTGAAATTGTTGACACTGAAGCTAAATTCGATACACCACCTGACAGCCCAAGAAACAAAATCAAAAAAGGAGAAGAAAAGGAGTAAGCTATGCATCCTATCGGTGAAGGAGATATGGGAGCCACAACCTTGACCTTAAAGGTCAGAATTGGCAAGGTGACAGCCACAGCCTTGGTGGATAGTGGCAACACTACTACATTCATTACACCATCCTTGGTGAGAAGGGCTAATCTGGAGATAGAAAACTATGAACCAATTCCAGTGAAGGTAGCTAATGGGGAAATTTTGTATACAAGGGCACATTGTCCTCAACATGCATACCATATCCAAGAGGAAGAATTTGCATCTACATTCAGGGTGTTGGAAATCAGAGGATATGACATCATCTTTGGATGTGATTGGATTCACCAGTTCAGCCCTGTATCTCTTAATCTTAAAACTAAAGAGTTGACTATGAGTAAGGATGGACACACCTTGGTGCTCTCAGATGTGTCAGTTCCTGTAAGGAATTTCTTGATTAGCATGCACAAGCTGGAGAAATGGGTAGATCAAGGAATGGCTGGAACAGTATTGCACTTAAAACCAGTTCAGGAGGATGAAGGGAGAAAAGGGGAAACTCCTGAAGAGGTTAATGAGGTGCTTAAGGAGTATGGTGATGTATTTAAGGAGCCAAAACAATTACCTCCTGCTAGGGACTGTGATCACACAATACCATTGATCCCTGGAGCTAAACCAGTGAATGTGAGACCTTACCGTCTACCTCATCATCAGAAAAATGCAATGGAGGAATTCATGAAGCAGTTGATTACTTCCAATACTATCCAACCCAGTATGAGTCCTTACTCCTCACCAGCCATTTTAGTGAAGAAGAACGATGGGTCTTGGAGGATGTGCATTGATTACAGACAATTGAACTCTAACACTATTATGAATAAGTACCAATTCCAGTAATTGAGGACTTACTTGATGAGCTCCAGGGGGCCAAGTATTTCTCTAAGATTGATTTGAGGTCGGGGTATCACCAAATCAGGATGAAGGTAAATGACATACCCAAAACTGCATTCAGGGCCTGTTCACTTTGATGACATTTTCAACCTTACCAAGTTTTGGTAAAGTTGCTAAAAAAATGGCTACATTAGTTTGCTGCCAAATTTTGGTAACTATATAAGAAATCCTGCCAAAATTTTGGCAAGTTACCAAGCATTGCTAAAATTTGGTAAGTTTTTTTTTGCATCAAAGTGAACAGGCCCTCAGTACACATGTGGGGCACTTTGAATTTGTGGTCATGCCATTCAGGCTTACTAATGCACCAGCTATATTCCAGGCCCTAATGAACAAAATAATGTGAAGTACCAGGTAAAAAAAATAATGTTAAGTAGCTCAAAAGAATAGGAGGCTAACCCTATGATGTAGTATTATATATTCCCATGGAAGTGAAGTTAAAACACGCCTAACAAAGATGTGTGTTGATTACTTGATTGCTTCCATGAAACACGACCTAGCATAATAAATTTCTAATTGAGGCTGGTAATTCAACTTAAACAAAGTTGCCCTTGACATAGAAAGATATAAATAAACATGCAGTATTCCATACCAAGAAAAAAAATTACAGGACCATTATCATATAAGCTAAAATCATTGAAAACATGATAGACAGTAGCAACTTGATCATAGGGGAAGCAAAAGAAACAATGGTGCGTGCTGAGTTTGACGTCCCAGAGCTGTTATATTTAACTAGAATTTCTTCTCTCTTTTTTAACTCTTCTCGTGTTTTTGCTAAAGCTTCTTGGAGTGGCATGTTGTACATATGGCTGTGGACTGTAATGTCACAAGTTTTCTTATTCGGCACCAGGTAGAAGAATCCACCCTTTAAACGACGATCCTTGTAACGGCTGAGCTTCTCGTTAATGATATCTATCAAGTGATTCATACTGCGTCTATGTTTCTTATAGACCGTCCATGTAAGCATGGCTAATCCCTTAAGCATATTATGGTAAACCACCGCTATTCTTTTTTGCACTAACAAGGATACTTCACGGTCTAATGACGTCGTTTTAGCCATAGTATAACCTTCACTGCAAATCCAGGTACCACGCTCATCTCGGAGACATAACCGAAAATTCTTTTTCCCAACCTTGAAACCAGTCTTCCTTCGTCCTTTCCTAAAAGATTAAAAAAAATCTCTAAGAAAAGGAAAGAGACTCTAGTTGCATCCATCACTCCATTTAAAAAGACATTTGCATCTTCATATACAAGAAAATGACAACCACTCCAGATTTAATTTTTCAAAACTTTAACCACCAAATAGCTCTCAAAAGATTATGTTTATAAAAGTAAAAATTACATGGGTATAATTTTCGTTACAAGTACTTTTACAATACAACAATGTGCTGTAAGTTATCGATATATTCTAATAAAAAATAGTAATCCAAGGTACATGTAACTATTTTGTACATATTATGCAATCTCAATTATTTTGTACATATTATGCAACTTAATTTTCCGCAGCAACGTAGCGGGGTATTCATTTTGTTTGCTTTCAAGTACATCAAAATTTGTTTTGTGGAGTGACAATTGCAATCATATTCTGCATATATAGTAATCTATCCGTTTTATATTATAAGGCGGTTGACTTTTTTTTCCCTAATCAAACTTTGTTAAGTTTGACCAAGTTTATAAAAAAACAGTAACATCTAAAATATCAAATTAGTTCCATTTAATCTAACATTGAATATATTTTAACAATATGTTTGTTTTGGGTTGAAAATACTATAATATTTTTTCTATAATCTTGATCAAACTTAGAGATATTTGACTGGTTAAAAAAAATCAAATGGCTTATGATATAAAACAGAAGGAATATTTTTCAAGTCCAAAAGAAAAATTCTACTATACTATTGTTATTTATTATTAGTATCTTTCAAACCTAAAAAAAGTGTGCAACACGAGGAACTGGCCATTACGTACCTTGAACATATATATGCCTTGAATTAATACACGTTATATGATTTGTGCCGGCCCCCATCGGTGCACTTATTCAACGAACAAGAGAAACGACATATTTGTAAAAAAAAATTGTGAACAAAATTTTTATATACATGTTCTTAGCGATCTAAAATTATTAAAGGATAAAAAATAAACTTCGATAAAAAAACCTCTAAATTTAACTTCAAATTTAAAGTTGTTAATTCAATTTTTGACTGATAAGTATAAGCGAAAAGATGATACCATACATGTTTTTTTGAAAAAAAAGATGAGATGAGCATATAATTATAGTACATACATACCTGAAGCTGCGGCAGGTACAATCATTGTCCATTGGCTAGCAGAGTCGCGGGTGCTGCAAAATTGTCGTCTCTGTTAATCGCGCGGATGCCAATGATTTTCATGGATCAACCGAGCACATAAGCCACATATGTTATATATACACGTAGTATTATACCTTGATAACGTCGAAGTGGGTATGGTTGGAGTAGGCAGTGTTGTATTTGGATACAGTATAGGTGTATCCGTGTATGTGTGGAAAAAAAACGAAAAAAAAAACGAAGTACTTGAGAGCGTGCCGGTGAGGCAATGGACTTTGTATTTATACCTCAGCGACACCTTTACCTTCGAGATGGACCCGATCGGACGGCTACGATCAGCCGCACCCCGCGTCTCACCACCCAAATACCCAACACACAGGCTACGCTATAAACGCAGGCAAAAGCGACCGAACCAAAACCCAAACGCGAGCCGAGCCTGGTCGAGACGCTTCTCAACGCCACGCCCCCTCACCTAACCGGGCCGACGACCCAAGGGCCCAAGCACCAGCCACCCTCTCTCTCTCTCTCTCTCTCTCTCTCTCTCTCTCCTCTCCGCCGCCGCCACCCCGCCGCCTCCCTCCTCCGGCGACCGCCGCGGGCAGAGCGCGACAAGAGGGAGGGAGGAGAGCTCGCCCGAGGTGGGGGCAGGGAGCGCGAGGAGAGGGTGAGGGGAAGATGGTGAGCTCTTCGTCGCCGGTGGTGAACGTGTACCCGCTCGCCAACTACACGTTCGGCACCAAGGAGCCCAAGATGGAGAAGGACACCTCCGTCGCCGACCGCCTCGCCCGCATGAAGGTCAAGTAAGTGTCCCCGCCCCCAAACCCCTCCCTGATCTGACGCTAGGTTTCTTCTTCTCCCCGGAACCCTAAACCCTAGAGCTCAGATCATGCCCGCTTTTTTCCCCCCTTCGGTTTGAACAGGTCCAAGGTCTGCTTAAATTAGATAGTACTGAAACAGGAGTGTATTAGGCATTTTTTTTGTGAACTATGCTTGCTTAAGCCGTTACATTTTAACTGGGATTTAAGACTAAACACTTGTGTTCTGACTGTTTATGCCACCCTAGTGTTCAGATGGTCATCGTGGGCACTTATTTTGATCCGTATGTTGATATGGGAAATTGTTTTAGTTACATGGCTTATAATGGTGGGTGATTCGTTGGGTGTTGACTTGAATTATAGCTAAAATGCCACGACCATCTATTTATTTGCTCATGTATTTTTCCTCTCACGCTGTTGATCTAGCTGCCAAGCACTATGTCATGAATAGTTTTACAAGATAATTTACGTTTGTCAGAAGAATACCCGGAATGTCAAGCCAAAATAGTATGACACTGGAATTTTTTTTCTGTTTCTTCAGTTGATTGCGATGCATTGTTGTGTTAATTACATATATCTACTTTGTTTCCGATGTAACTTATGAACAGCTAGGCTCCTTCCTCAGTATATTCCTTTCTAAGATTATCTGTCCAATAATGCAAGTTAATTACAAGTTGCTTCTGTAATGACAGCTACATGAAAGAAGGAATGCGGACCAGTGTTGAAGCAATCCTATTGGTGTGTTTATACTTTCTTCACATTATTTATGTACACAATTTTGTGTTTGAAATATCCAACAGTTGTCAAATTTTGTGTAGTTATTACTACTAGTCCATATAAACTGCAGTGTGTCAAACAAACTGAAATCTTTGCTTGCATTGTCCTAAATAGGTGCAAGAACACAACCATCCCCACATACTGCTGTTGCAAATTGGTAATACATTTTGCAAGCTTCCTGGTGGACGTTTGAAGCCTGGAGAAAATGGTGTGTTATGTATAGCTCTTTTTTAAACCCTGTCAGTTTCTTCATAAATTGTAATATAATGTATTTAGCTGTTGGTTCTGCTACTGGAATTTGCAGAAATTGAGGGTCTGAAAAGAAAGTTATGCAGTAAGCTTGCAGTGAACTCGCCTTCCTTTCCACCTAACTGGCAGGTAATGAGCTCAAGAGAAATTTAGATGCAACTCCTTTGAATTTAAGTTATATCTGGTGACATTTTGCATGTGATTCATAGTTAATCCGGTATTAATGAAGGTTATCCACATGGCGTCCTAAATTTCATAGCTATTTCTGATTTGTATCGGTTGCCTTAATATTGATCTAGAAGAAAGAGAAAACTCAACTGTTGTTTCGGCAATCCTTTACCTATTGATTTGCAATATCTGTATTATTTGTTACTCATTTCTTATTTCAGGCACACATATTAGAATGTTACTGAGTTTATGTGTGTCATATTGTGGCATAGGTGATTATGTGCACAAAGTTGTAATCTGAAGCTTCAATGGTCAGCTCATTGTCTTGTATACCTCTTAGTCACAGGGCTAGTTTTCTTTATGTATGCCCTTTGTTTTTATGTGCCATTCAAGTACATGTGTAGGTTATGGTATGGTTTGCTGGACCTGGAATTTTTTGGAGAATTGTTGCTGATGATTTTTCACTAGATATAAAACGTGCAGATTCAGAATGAACTTTTAACTTATTCATGCTTGCCACTCTTTATAGTTATTTCCTTATCGTGTTTTGTATTCAATCATGTTGATAATGGTTTTATTGAATGCCTTTAAAGATGGATCTTGTGTAGTTTAAATTATATCCAATCTGATAAAGGTGTAAACATTGTTTCCAGGTTGGAGAGTGTGTTGCTGTATGGTGGAGGCCAAACTTTGAGACTGTGATGTATCCTTACTGCCCTCCACATATAACCAAGCCCAAGGTACATTCTTGCTTCAAAAGGCTTTTTTTCTTAGGGCCTGTTTGGCAGGGCTCCAACTCCTAAAATAACTCCAGGAGTGGAGCTGTGGAGTGGCCCGAACCTAGCTCCACCCATCTAGTATATTTTTTCAGATTACTCCAGCCCGCTCCACTCCCTTTTTAGGTGGAGCTGAAACCGTTTGGTTGGGCCCCAGCTCCATGAGAGGTGGAGCTGGAGCGCTGCCAATCAGGCCCTTATAACTTAGTGAAATCAGAAAATCTAAATGTGCATTGTGGTGAACAGGAGTGCAAGAAGCTTTTCATTGTTCACCTATCTGAAAGAGAGTATTTTGCTGTTCCGAGGAACCTGAAGCTGCTTGCTGTTCCACTGTTTGAACTCTATGACAACGTTCAGGTAATCTAACTCATCCTATAGTACAATTAGAATTCTTGAAGTTTGAGAATATTTTTCCCATCTGTGAGGCGTTATGAACTATGTACCAGTGGTTATAGTTTCTTTCTGTTTCATTAGGAAGCATTTCCATATTATCAATTTGATTTTGCTTCATTCTTTCTTTTTTCTATTTCCACTTAAAATCATACTTACACAGAAGGGAAGGATCCCTATATTAAGTTGGTTTCTAAAAGAAAGGATCCATCTCTTGTATTTAGATTACTTCCCTGATCTTCGTCTTGTTTGGTGTCATTGACAGGGCCTTAGTTGTCACATAATCACTTATCTTTAACGAGGCAACATGATTAGGACATCTTACAAACAGAATTTCCAAGTTTGATAAAAATAGATTGGTGTTACACAAAATCTAGGTTCAATCATAATGTGCCACATTAGCTTTTGTAAGAACAATTTTGTATGTATAGCCTTTCCTTTGTAGGCCATCACTTCTGCACAGAGTTTGCTTATTCTTCTGATGCAGTTTTTTTTGTGTCTTATGTTGTGCTTATTCTTCAATTACTTTGCTACTGTTGCTGAAATTTCTTTGTGTGGATGCAGCGATATGGGCCAGTCATTTCCACCATTCCGCAGCAGCTGTCTAGGTTCCAGTTCAACATGGTTAGCTCGTGAAGGTGATGAGAGATGGAGATTAGTGTGCACTAGGCTCTATTTGATGGGATCTTCAACGGGCTGAACTACCTAATCGACTTGGCATGACTAATTTGTTCTATCACAGAGAATTTCCATGAATTAGCTTGGGAAAAATATTCTGGATCCATCGTTGGACTGTTAGCTGGACATGCATTTCGACTGTATTTTGTTGGATTGTTTTGTATCACATCGCAAAGCTGGTGCCTGGTGTATTTTTAGATGATCTTTTGTTGGCTCTGCACGCTAATTGTTGGTGTACATGGCTCTGTATGCTTACTGCCTTGATGTTGTATGCTGTAGCTGTAACTCTTCAGGCTGCCTAGCTTTTTTTTCTAGCCAGGAACTCCCCCTCTTAACTGTAAAAATGCTTTGGATTTAAGACAACATAGAGAGGATTAAGCTTTTTACAGTGTTCCATCACATGCAAATTATCGTGCGTCTGTATGTGGCATGCTTGTCAGTTGTCACTAAAAACTTTGCGGCTGAATGCAAATGCTTCACCTAGCAGCATCACTAAACGCGGACTAATAGCGCTACTATTGTGTAGTTCATCTTGCGGAAACAACACAGTACGTGGTGCTCATAATAGGCGGCAATTCAGGGGTTTCCAATCTTGGGGTAACAACAACACATTGCGTAGTGCTAATAATAAGCGGCAATTTTGGGTTGAAAGATCGACTCGGTATTCTTAAAAAAAAAGAGAGGAAGCAGAACTAAGTCAAGATGATATGGGTCGCCCCTTCTTTTTGCGCCAAAGAGTCTCAGTGAGATGGAGCATTGTGTAGTGCTCATAAAAAGCGGCAATTTTGGGTTGAAAGATAAGAGTCTCAGCAAGATGGTGGATTTCGTGAAATTCGATCACTCTTTGAACAAAATCCGATACAAGCCAAGTGGTTCGGACTTAGCTTCGGTACAATTCCGAAATTTGGATGACGAAATTCGAACAAATTTTGTTGCGATCAAAGCCAAGTGGTTTGGTAGAGCTCCGAAATTTGGATGACGAAATTTGAATAAACTTCCTTTTTGAATCGGAAAACTCGAACAATCTTGTGAACAGTGGGCCAGTGGCTCACCGCCCACTTCACCGGTTTCCGGCGTCCGGCGCGGCGCCTGCAGAAGAGCCCCTCGAAAACCCCTACCCCCCATAGCTGCCCACGTCCCCCCGTTTCCCGCGCCCACCTCCACCGCCATCGCCATGGGCAAGCCGAAGCAGCAAGTGCTCTCCCGCTTCTTCTCCCCCAAGCCGCGGCCCTCCGCCCCCGCCACCGCCGACGATCCGCCGCCTCCGCCTAGACCTCCCGCCGAGCCGCCCGTCGCCGCCGTCGTCTCCTTCTCGCCCGCCAAGCGCGCGCGCGCCCTCTCCGTCTCCCCCAAAACCACCGCCAAAAGGGCCAAGCCCTCCCCTCCCCCTTCCGACTACGTTCGCCGCAGGCTGCTCGAACCGCCCCGGCCGCCCCCGCCCGCCGCTGTGAACCCTAGCGGCAAAGGCTACACCCCGCTGGAGCAGCAGGTGGTCGACCTCAAGGCGCGCCACCCCGACGTCCTCCTCATGGTCGAGGTCGGTTACCGCTTCCGCTTCTTCGGCGAGGACGCCGCCGTCGCCGCCTCCGTGCTCGGCATCATCGCCCACCCCGACCACAGCTTCCTCACCGCCAGCATCCCTACCTTCCGCTTGGGCTTCCACGTCCGCCGCCTCGTCGCCGCGGGGCACAAGGTTGGCGTCGTCCGCCAGACCGAGACGGCGGCGATCAAGGCGGCGCACGGCGGGGGCGCGGCCGGCACGCCCTTCGCGCGCGGGCTCTCGGCGGTGTACACGCGCGCCACTATCGAGGCCGCGGCCGGGGAGCTGGAGGGCGGCGGCGCGCCCGACGAGGGGAGCAGGTACCTCGTGTGCGTGGTGGACAAGGAGGTGGACGCCATGGGGACGGAGGGGTTCGAGGTGAAGATCGGGGTGGTGGCCATCGAGGTTTCGACCGGTGAGGTTGTGCACGGCGAGTTCATGGACGGAGTCTCGAGGAATGGCCTTGAGGCCGTGCTGCTTGGCTTGGCGCCCGTTGAGGTCATCCTCGGGACTCCAATATCCTCTGCCACGGAAAAGGTATACCTGTGCGGTTTGTGATGTGCGAATTGTAGGCTACCTGATTTGTTATAATCTGCAAGTAATTCCAGGTTGTAACTTACCTGGTCTGTTTTCTCAGCTATTGTAGTTGTTCTAAATGGAAACTTATTTAGGATTGTTGGTGGAAAGACTCACAGTCATCTGGGTAGTTTGGCAGCAATAGTTCGGCATTTTAAAATTTCTCAGCAAAAAAAGAATGATTGCTTGTTGACTCTGCCAAATTAAGTTCTAGCAAATTATTCCTATAGTGAACTTTGGAAGGGTTATTTGCCTTACAGTTTAATGAGTTCCCCCCAGAATTGTTTAAAGTTCTTACAATCTGTGTGAAAGTTCCTTCCTGTTTTGATGTGCTTGAGACCCCTCTGTTTGATTTGTTCTGTTCTACATGTTGTCCAGCTGATGGTGGCATATGCCGGGCCTACCTCTAATGTCCGGGTTGAGCGCACCTCGCGTCTTTGTTTTAGTGAGGGTGGTGCTTTAGCTGAACTGCTCTCTTTGTTTGAGAAGTCTGGGGTTGATGCTCCAACTGTTGAGAATGGCAGACATTTGATGGAGATGAACGAGGAGAACAATAATCCTCGTGGGATTGAGGTACCGTTAAGTTCTTCTGAACTCACTGTCATCGCACCTTATGATTGGGTCTCCATATGTAGTTTAGTAAGTTCCAATTTCTTTTTTTCTTTTTGGTTCAAGCAGGGTATCATGGCTATGCCAGAACTAGTTATCCATGCACTGGCCTTGAGTGTTCGCTATCTCAAGGGTTTTGGTATGGACAGGATAATCTGCTTTGGTTCTTCATTTCAGCCATTTACAGCTAACACTGAAATGTCTCTGTCAGCAAATACTCTTCAACAACTTGAGGTAGACTTTTATACAACACCGCCAAAGTAAATTTTTTGTTTGCATATATATGACCTTCTGTTTATTTACTCTGCACTGTCTGTAAGTCTCATCTTGAATCCTAACTATATGGAAGAAAGTGCATCCTATCATTAAATAATATATATATATATATATTATTTAATATGAGACTTACAGTTGGCTTTTCTTAGAAACACATGGATCACGTCAACTTTTTGTTTTTATGACCTATGTTCTTAATACACTTTTCCACTCCATTCTTCCATATATGAAAGTAACACCTGGAGTGCTTTCAGGTATTGAAGAACCACTCAGATGGTTCATTGGATGGATCATTGTTCCAAACTATGAACAACACATGTACAGCTTTTGGATCCAGATTGTTTAGACACTGGGTAAGACTCTGTAACCTGGTCATGGAATGAATATTAATCCATGATGCATCATATCACTATGAAAAGTGATAACTAGACAGCTATTGTTTATCTTGACTATTGTCTTAAAGGTCTTTGGTTGTGACATTTCTTGCAGCTGACTCACCCTTTATGTGATAGAAATCAAATATGTACTCGTCATGACGCGGTCTCTGAGATCTCTGAATCAATTGGATCACAACAATATTCAACTAACAATCTCCAGGATGAAGTGGACATGTCTTGCTCATCTTCTGTGAGAAGTGATCTGAGCACCATTCTTTCATCCGTTTTGAGAATGCTGGCAGGAACTCTTGATATACAAAGAGGAATAACAAGGATTTTCCACTGCAAAGCCACAGCGAAAGAGGTCAAATATTTATTATTCCTTTTCGGTTCTAGACTTCTAGTTAATTTGATAATGACACCTAATTATGCTAGTTTATTTCATTAAACTGACATTATACAGCATGAATATCCTGCTTAGACTAATCCCTTTTTTTTATTATACTCTCTGTTCAGACTGTACATTTTTATTATTTACTGTCCAAATATTCCCATGATTTCAATTCAATATTCATGTAATCAGGGTACTTCAAATGATACTCCCTTCGGGCTGATAATACTTGTCGTTTTAGACAAGGATGAGGTCAAATTTTAGAATCTTTGATTATGAATCATTTTTAAAATATTTGTCTTTCAAATATGGTGACTACATGTATAGATTAGTCTTAAAAAGTACTTTAATAAAATCATATATTTGTTAACATTTTTATACATATTATAATGGAAAATAATGGTCAAAGTTGTTTTTTGGAGACCGTGCCCTTGTCCAAAAGACCAAAACAACAAGTATTATCAACCCGGAGGGAGTAAATGTTATGCTGCTGAAAAATTATGGCTTGGTTCTTATGCCAATAGTTGACTGGTGCATTCTGTTCTTGACGCCTGATTGCCTATAGTTTTGTATTGTAGTTTGTTGGGGTCGTCCAAGCTATCCTGACGGCTGGAAAGCAACTGCAGAAGCTTGTTCTTGAGGATACAGACACCATGTCTTCTCAGCATAGAACTGTGCACTCTCCTTTGTTGAGAAGGCTAATAAATACGGCTTCATCATGTACTGTCCTGGCTAATGCTGCGACACTTGTGTCTTGTCTTAACAAAGATGCTGCTGATCAAGGAGATATGCTAAACTTATTCATTGCATCTGTTGATCAGTTCCCAGAGGTATAACCTTCTCTTTTAGGGCTTGTTTGGTTAATCCCCATGAGGGAGGGAATTGGAGGGGATTAATTCCACACCCCTTCAATTCCCTTGTGGGAGGGATTAACTGAACAAAGCCTTAATGGAATGATCTTGTTATTCCCTAGTTTTTATGATGCATCGTCTTCATATTTGAAAAAAAAATTATAGGTTGCAGAGGGTCATGCAACTGTTGAAATGGCCAAGCAGAAATTGGAGCTGTTAATTACTGAGTATCGAAAGCAGCTTGGTGTGCGCAACTTGGAGTTTAAAACAGTAGCTGGGACAACTCATTTGATTGAAGTTAAGTCGCTTAATTGAATTCAGTTAACTTCTAACTATTGTTAATTGCAGTTCCAAGTAGCAAATGATGTCCATGAGAAAAGTAGCACAGAGCAAAATATTTTACAGTTTTGTTATACGATTAATATTACCATCATCATGTCATATCTTGTGCCTGCAGCTACCGGTGGATAGAAAGGTACCTTCAAGTTGGATGAAAGTAAACAGCACCAAGAAAACAATTAGATACCACACTCCGGAAGTCTCGAAAAACTTGGAGAATTTATTGCTGGCTAAGGAAAAGCTAGCAGTTATCTGCAGGACAACATGGAATAACTTCCTCATGGATTTCGGCAGATACTATGCGCAGTTTCAAGCAACTGTTAAATCTCTTGCCACTCTGGACTGCTTATACTCGCTTGCCACTCTCGCAAAACAAAATGTAATAGACTGTTCTTAACCCTTTTGTGCTCATCTTTTTACATTCACTTTGTTCCAACAGTACATTGCTAAACAACCAATATTCCATCTGCCAGAAATATGTACGACCAAATTTTGTTCGTGAGAATGAAGCAAGTCAGATTCACATAAAAGATGGCCGCCATCCGGTTAGTTTTGGATCACTTCCCACTCCATTCCTAATATGAATGCAACTTCAGTTTTTAACAGGCAAATCACAAACAGTATCATTGCATTCCTTTTATTAGTTGTAATACAGTACTGCCTCACAAGTTTTGCATCCCTAAGAAAACAAATAGAAGAACCTGAAAATTTGAGATACTCATACTGCAGTTGAGGGGATTAGTTCTATTGGTCAATTTTAATTACTCCTTCCTTTTGGCTGTACATCTACCGTGCTTTGGGCATTTTGGTCTTTTCAAATATTTAGGTACCTAGGTTTTGTAAGGGAAGTCGTGTGTACAGATTTGTCACGAAAAGTACTTTCGTAATATTTCAATTTGATCGGGTTTTTGGCCACTGGTGGTCAAAGTTGTTTTTCCAAGGCCATACCATTGTTCAACACGTTATTATATCTGGCCTGAGTAGAGTAGTTGCATGAAATTGCATGCATGTTTCAACTTTAAGAGCTATAAAGAATAGTGTCATGATAACTGCATGCTTTCTTGAAAGCTTAGATTTTACCTACAATTATTTCAGGTGGTCAATATGAAAATAATATTCTACTGTGCCACGGACACTATTTCCAATACTACTGGCAGATCACACACGGTCATGCATACTTCATGTGAAGCATTTAGTTTATGTTGACAATGTTTGTATTTCTATGCTGTTGGTTTTTAGGTTCTGGAGTCCCTACTTGGAGTCAATTTTGTTCCAAATGATACCGAGCTTCATGCAAATAGTGAGTACTGCCAGATTGTTACAGGACCAAACATGGGAGGAAAGAGTTGCTATATTCGTCAAGTTGCTCTAATTACATTGATGGCCCAGGTATAAATATTGTCTCACACTTGTAGTTCACTCATGTTAACATGTTCTGGATGTATAACATAGTTACTGCAAACTTAGTTGTTGGGCTTAGGACCTGAGGAAGTAAGGGTTTACTTTGTTGTTATCTTACCCTGACTCTGAGATTATCCTAACACTTGGTACACTGATTTCCTTAGGTTGGTTCCTTCGTACCAGCTTCATCAGCAACATTGCATGCTGTTGATGGAATTTATACTCGAATGGGCGCGTCCGATAGTATTCAGCATGGAACAAGTACCTTTTATGAGGAGTTGAGTGAAGCTTCCAACATATTGCATAACTGCTCATCTCGGTCACTAGTTATCATCGATGAGCTTGGTCGTGGTACAAGCACACATGATGGTGTTGCTATAGCTTATGCTACATTACACTATCTTCTGAAAGAGAAGAAATGCATGGTAATTTTTGTCACTCATTATCCAAAGATTCTTAATATTCTGAGAGAATTTGAAGGTTCTGTCGGTGCATACCATGTCTCATATCTAGCAACACGGAAACTGTTGGAAGTAGCTGATAGACAGATGGTGATTAACAACACAGAGACAAAGGATCTTGGTGAAATCACTTTCTTATATAAACTTGTTGCTGGAGCTTCAGACAGAAGCTTCGGTCTTAATGTTGCGCTGCTTGCACAGGTTAGTTTTAAGTTGTCATGTCTTTTTGTTTCTATATTTCTAGTTTGGTCCAAATTTGATTAGTTATTAAGACATGTGCTTAATACCATGACTTGCAAGTGACCACCTTTCTTCCCTTGTACTCTAGACTGATTGTAGAATAACGACATACATTCTTCAGTTTGCTTGTTGCTGTCTATATAGGGAATAGGTTCTAGTTTTGGGTTCATTGTTTTAGTACAGGAAATAAGTCCTCTGTTTTCTTCAATGACGATGCATGTTGTGGTTAATTTTTGAAGTACCCTTCCTCCTTTGCAAGCTGAGTTACAGTTTGAAGTGAAACAGTGCTTATGATCTCCTTGTTTTTGTTACTTGTTTGCTGATATGTGTTCCTATTTGCAGCTTCCATCTAGCTGTATTGAGCGCGCTTCAGTCATGGCAGCCAAACTTCAACAGGAGTTAAGTGAGCGTGAGAAAAATAAGTTTTGTAGGCTAATGGACGTTCCACGGGAAAGCTCTCCGAAAGAGCTTTGTGCACAGCCTTATCAAGGGCTGGCTGAAGCATGCCACAGGATACTATTTAACGTTACATCTGCTCAAAGTAATGACGAGTTAACGGATACACTATCTTCTTTAAGGGAAGCCAGGGAAATTGCCTTGAAGGCAATAAAAGGCTGGTGATCATGTTCTTCGAAGCAGTGGATACTTCACCACTGGTTTCCTTTTGTTTTTTTGAAGGGATCAGGTATTGATGCTGTTCCATTCTGTTCAGGTATTGCTTCGTTCTAGCTACTAGTTTCTAATGTAGTGCCTTGACTGATCTTTGCATGAAGGTGGCATCTTCTGATAATCTACTAAAAATTTATCGAAGATGATTTTGGGACTAATGTTATTTATCGAAGACGATTTTGGGACTAATGTTAGCCATTGTGCTAATGGCAGCAGTGTAGACTGTAAAATATAGTGGATCTGGAAGGTGGAGGACCTTGAAGTTAAAGCCAACTCTATGGAAGAGCAAGTAACTTATTGTAAATCTGTAGTTACAGCATCAGTTGATGTATCCAGACTTGTCCAAACCATATTAAAGCTTTGCCTCCATTTTGAAGTGTAGATGCAGAAATGAGATGCATCTCTTATATCCTATTCCTCAGTGAAATATCCCTGTGTTTCTAATTTGTGTCTATTTGTGATAATCCTGGAACTTCAAAATGCTGTCCTCCGTCTTGATATTTTCGATTTGAATTTGGACTGATCTATCTTTTTTTTAAAAAAAAGTTACACTAATCTATCTACTGGAGTACTTCAGCAACATTTTCTAAAAGGAAAGAAAGGAGGATGCTGAACGCAGCACAGCAACATTTTCTAAAAGGAAAGAAAGGAGGATGCTGAACGCAGCACATCCTGAAGGCGTACTTAAGAAAGGCCAGCCCAGCCCAGCAGGGGCGCCGGCCCATTCATCCACTTGGGGGCGTACCATCGGTCCATCGCACGTGAGAGGAGAGGAATATCCCGTAAAATCCGAAGAGAAGGAATCCTCCTACTACACAAATTTCATATTTTTTTAGATTTTCTTTGTTTGAGAAAGTTTCAGGTGGCAGAGTCACGAATGCATCATCGCTCTCCTGCCCTGCCTCGTCTCCTCCGCTCAGCTCAGCTCCGGTCCAAACCAAAACACACACACAACATAAGAGGCGGCGGCCCTAACAAATCCCAAGAGACTTCCACTGCACAACCAACCTAGAGCAGCTTTGAGACTTGAGAGTGAGAGCTCGCGAGTCGCGCACAGACTCAAACAGAGGCAGAGAGAGATGGGAAGGGAATGAGGCGGCGGCTCCTCTCCCCTTCTCCGGTGACGTGACGACGCCCCTCTCCTCCTCCTCCGCTGCCGCATCCGAGTTCATAAACCTTCGTCCCTTCCGCCCCGCCATCCGTCTTCCCGGAATCCCGGTATGTAAGCCCCGCCCCCGCTTCATCAGTTCGGTCGGATTGGATGAACGCCCATTTTTTGTGGGGACGTTCAGCGTGATGTATCAACGATTCAATCGAACAGCCATTGGTTTTTTTTCTCCCGTGTTTCTAATCTAATGCCGCTTACTTTTTTTAGCCAAACATTTTGTTGGATTCCTCCGGGGTTCTGATTTGGGTTTCTGTTGATATTGTGTTCGTACAGGGGGCGCGTGGGGATGGATTTGTCTAGGTTTACTGCCCCGCGGCCGGGCTTGCAGATCGGCGCCGCCGGGAATGGCTTCCGGGCATGCTCCCTGCGGCGTCTCAGGTATCGTGTCTGCGGCGGGAACCCCATGGGCGCCTCCGCCCTCGGAGGCTGCGGTTCCCGTAGCCTCTTCTACTTGGCTCCAAACCATGGGAGCCCTCTTGCCCTCCGGACCAGAGGGAGGGCGCTGAGGTGCCAGGGAAATGACTCACTGGCCTATGTTGATGGCCCTTTGGAAGGTACCAATGGCTCAGTAGTCGATAATACCGAGGACGAAGCAAACAGCTCTGGGTTGGATGAGGAGAAGGGTGATGATGATGCAGAAAATCTCAGGGACTTGCTTCAGAAGGCGAGGAAAGAGCTGGAGGTGGCCAGGTTGAACAGCACCATGTTCGAGGAGAAGGCGCAGCGGATATCCGAGTCGGCCATCGCACTGAAGGATAGGGCAGATAAAGCTCAGAGCGACGTCTCTTCTGCCGTGACGACCATACAGGAGATCATCAGCAAGGAGGCTGATGCCAAGGAGGCTGTCCGGACAGCTACAATGGCGCTCTCCATGGCTGAGGCCCGCTTGCAGTTGGCGTCAGAAGCTCTGGATGCCAAAAGGGGATCAGTCGGGCCGATGGAAGTTAGCATTGATGATGTGGAGGAGGAGGCCCTTGCGTCCGCGCAAGAGGAGATTAAGGAGTGCCAAGAAAGTCTGTCAAAATGTGAGGAGGAGCTGAGACGTATCCAAGAGAAGAAAATGGAGTTGCAGAAGGAGGTTGATAGATTGACGGAGCTTGCTGAGAGGGCTCTTTTGGATGCTTCAAAAGCTGAGGAGGATGTTGCAAATATAATGGTTTTGGCTGAACAGGCAGTAGCTCTTGAGATGGAAGCTGCACAGCGAGCAAATGATGCGGAACTAGCATTGCAGAAAGCGGAGAAGGCCATCTCCTCGGTTGATGCCGTCGTAGAGTTACCAGCACCTGCTGAGGAGCAAGTAAGTGATGAAGAAGACAATGTTTCTGAAGTGTATGATTACAGCAGTGATGCTATAGATGATATTCCTGAAAGAGACGAGGTGTCAAATGTTGAGCGCCTAACTGTTGGGGACTTAGCTGTAGAAGGCATTGAGCAACTTGAATCATCCCGTGAAATGTCTGATGACGAAAGCACTGACAAGTTGCTTGTTGAGCCTCAGAAAGAAGCCGAACCTGATATAGATAAGTCAAAGCAAGGGAAAAAACAGGAAATAGAACGAAAGGAGTCTCAGCCATCGAATGCTCCTAAAGCATCACTGAAGAGATCATCTCGGTTCTTCCCCGCATCTTTCTTCTCCTCCAAAGCGGATGGAGAATTTACACCTACATCTGTTTTCAAGGGGTTGATGAAATCGACTAGAAAGCATGCGCCAAAGCTTGTTGTTGGGATAGTGCTTCTTGGAGCAGGGTGAGTTGCATAGTGAATAATATCTTTTCTCTTTGGTTTCTGTTTGCTAGAAAGTAAGAAAATTCTGATTTCCCATATGTTTGTATATTTATGCTGGATACTGTTATAGTTTGTCATATTTTCTATCTGTATAATCAAATAACTGAAAGTACTTGTTCTTACAACAGTTGAAGTGATTTCATTAATGTTGATAAGCCAATTCTTTATGAAACGGTGTTTCTATTCTCTGTCTACAGAGCATTCTTCTTAAATCGGGCTGAGAAGAGTAGTCAATTATTTCAGCAGCAAGAAATAACCACAAGTATTGAGGAAGTTACCTCCACTGCAAAGCCCATAGTTCGTGAGATGCGAAAGATCCCACAACGAGTAAAAAAGCTTATTGAGCTCTTACCTCATCAAGAGGTATGTTCCCTTTCAACTGAACCTGTACATTGGCGAATTTATTTCCCTTTTTTGTGAGTACATTCTCTTGCTGCTCACACAAGTTAGACAAGAAATTTGGCTTGTGTCTAACTCCCTTCTGCTCTTTGTTACCCTAGGTAAATGAGGAAGAAGCTTCACTCTTCGACATATTATATTTGCTTCTGGCTAGTGTTGTGTTTGTACCATTATTTCAGAAAATACCTGGAGGTGATACATTTATTTCTGACATCTATATGTGCATAGCATGGTATCATGGCAATCAAACTTTCCTTATCCATCTGCCTTTTTTTTACAAATCATATCAAACAAATTCGTCTCTGTTCTACTCTAGTTTTAGTTTCAAGTTTCAACCGAACACTACAAAGTACAAACATTCACTTTGATTTTCTAATTTGAAATATCTGAACGTTTGTTCACTGTCCGATATTTCTTTTTCTAATATGCACCTTGATATCATAGGTAGTCCTGTTCTTGGATATCTGGCTGCTGGTGTCCTAATCGGTCCCTATGGGCTTTCCATCATCCGTCATGTCCATGGAACAAAAGCAATTGCTGAATTTGGAGTTGTTTTCTTGTTGTTCAACATTGGCCTTGAGGTAGAAACTGAGTTTCTTTTAGATTCTTTCCTTAATCCTCATGCAGGATATATCAGCTTACCATTTTTTACCTGCAGCTTTCTGTGGAAAGGCTAAGCTCAATGAAGAAGTATGTCTTTGGGTTAGGCTCTGCTCAGGTTATACTCATGCTATGCAACCAGTAAAGCAATAGTTCCATGTGGATACTCCCTAACAAATTGGAGCAATTGACAGGTGCTGGCTACTACAGCAGCTGTTGGTATGATAGCTCACCGTTTTGCAGTGCTACCGGGACCAGCAGCAATTGTTATTGGGAGTGGGTTGGCTCTGTCCTCAACAGCTGTTGTTTTGCAGGTACTTATAACTGGCATTTATCTTGTGTCATAGATTCTGACATTTTGATATTTCTCATAGTCACCGTGATCATATCACAATTGGAATAAATTGATCACCTGGAAACCTTTTTTTTCTCTGCTTCAAACTTTGATACCAGAGTATTGTGGAAACTTCCTTTCTACATATATATTTGTGGTCTTCATTTTTTTAGTTACACTGGGTGTTGAGCACTTATGGTTTGCTTCTCTAGGTACTACAAGAACGTGGGGAGAGCACATCACGACATGGACGTGCTACATTTTCTGTGTTATTATTCCAGGTATGACCACCATGATCATGAATATTGGTGATTATGTTCCAAGTTTCTCTTCCTCCCTTTTTTTTTCTTCTGATGCACTTCCTTATGTTTTATCTTGAGTTCTTGATGACACCCCACCCTGTGGTTGCATTTATTTGAATGTCCTTTACTGTTCCTTGCCATGCATGTATGCAAGCATGGACTTAGACATACACTCATCTGCAAGCACATGCTTATGCTTAGGGTTTATTGTTTCCTCTTCCCATATCTATTGCCATTTACAGGAAAAAAAATGCATTGACCTGACTAGTGTTAATGTAATCTAAGTCTTTCTTCTGATAGATATTTGTTGTGACATACTGTTGTATGCAGGATTTGGCTGTGGTGGTCCTGTTGATATTAATACCTCTTATATCACCTAATTCTTCAAAAGGAGGGGTAACCTTTTTTGATGCCATGTTCTTTTTCCCTGTCTGAGTTAGGACATTTTTGCTTGTTGGTGCAAAATGATCAACGTGTTTACTACAAATGATTCTTCGTGCATGAACAATCAAGTACTCTACATCACTCTTGTAACAGTCAGTATAATCATGACATGAACTGATGAGATAATCTAGATGTTTTATCCTATAGCATGATCAATTGACCAATTAAAATTGTTAAATTTCTTGATTGGTGATAAATTTTATGAATCACTTTAAAAGCCATGTTCCATTGCATTGCCCTTTGTAGGCTATTTAAGCCAGATGATCTATTTATTGTTCTAAGTGCTCATTCTATATTTCTGATGACATAGGTTAAATTGACAGAAATATAACATAAGTAACTGTTGTGTAAGATCAGCTAGTGTTATATATGTTTATTGAAATGTATGCTTGACACTTGGACACAGCCAAAGACATTAATTTAGCAAGAGTTTTAATTGCAATATGACCATGGTTGCTTCTCGCAG